CTGAGGGTCACTTTTCACTGCTTTTTATCTGTCCTTGGCAGACTTTGGTGACCCCAGTTTTCAGGTTTGCCCAATCCAGGGGTCGTTGACCCTCATGGGACTTCCCCCCTCGGTGGCTACTGGATGGCATCTGTCAGCCCCAGGGGTCATCCACATGTACGTGCAGGTTTGGGAGTCCATTGATGAATTTTGAATAGGGCTTTGGGAGCGGCTGATCTGGAGATATTCATCCCAAAAGTTGGTCCCCGGCGTTGATTAAACGTCACTGATCAAGGGCTAGAAGCCCTGGCCTGAGTTAGAGATGTCCGGGTTGCTACATTGTCTTCTATTGAGTTCTTCCGTTGTTGATCTGCAGTTTCCTTAGGTGTTAATTGCTGCCTGCTGCTACAGTGTTACACATTCAATCACTGATTCACTCGCTCTTTCAGGGGCCAGCCTGATACAGGGAAGCGTCAGTTTGACTCCTGCCCTTGTTAACATTGTTACTAAACACATTTATAGTTGAAAGTTGAAAGGTGAGGAGTATAAAATATAAGCTACAAATGCCATGGCACACAAATAGATAAAAATACCAAAATACATGGGGAGATACAAAATGCACACCTACAAATTTTAAAAACACAATTCCTTATCTTAAAGTGAAAGAAAGAGGAAGGAAGAAAAGGTAGAAGAGAAAAAACATATTTAAAGAGGGGAGAGCAAATGCAGGCAAGAGGAAAAGGGGGCTTTCTGCTACACATACAGGCTGGGGAGTTCCCCTCTTGAAAGCACAGAGGCGGAAAGGGATCTCGGAGTCATTATTGACTCCAAGATGAACATGAGCCGCAAATGCCAGACCGCAGCCAGCAAGGCCAGCCATACCTTGTCATGCATCCAAAGGTGCATCTCAAGCCGGTCCAGAGAGTTGATACTCCCCCTCTATGCGACTTTGGTCAGACCGCAGTTGGAGTACTGCGTCCAGTACTGGGCACCGCACTTCAAAAGGGATGTGGCCAGCCTGGAGAGGGTTCAGAGGAGGGCCACCCACTTGGTGAGAGGGCAGCAGGACAGACCATACAAGGAGAGACTGAAGGACCTGAACCTGTTCAGCCTCAGCAAGAGGAGGCTGAGGGGGGACCTGGTGGCTGCCTACAAACTCATCAGAGGAGATCATCAGCAAATAGGAAGAGCCCTATTCTGCCCAGCATCACCTGGGGTGACGAGGAACAATGGTAATAAGCTGATGGAGAATAGGTTTAGGTTAGAGATCAGGAGGCAATATTTTATAGTTAGGGTGGCCAGAATCTGGAACCAACTTCCTAGGGAAGTGGTCCTCGCCCCTACCTTGGGTAAATTCAAAAAGAGGTTAGATGATCATCTGTCTGGGGTCTTGTGAACCCAGCATTCATTCCTGCCTGTGGCAGGGGGTCAGGCTAGATGATCTGTTCAGGTCCCTCCTGACCCTAGCTACTATGAAACTATGACAGTGATTCGAATCAACGAATCAAATCACCAACCCCCAAATCGGCCAAATCTGAATCGGAAGCGAATGTTAGCTGCTTCACACAGGCCTAATGTCCAATATAACCTGGGAAATGGAATTTACTTCAATCTACAAAAATATACTAGCAAGCCAATATGTATACAAGCAGAATAAGAATGTTTGCCTTAAAGAACCCATACAGAAAAGAAATATTGACATTAAATATGAAAATTGACATCTGGAACCAATGCTGTCATCCATATTTTATATAGTTTTATAATGCATTTGTGGGTGTTGTATTATCAGAAAAGGGTCAAAGTGAACAATAAAGTGATAGTGCTTTACTCTGGTTTCACCCACAGTCCAAAAATAGCTGAATGGTCTCTCTAAAATGATCAGTAATAAGCAAATTAGAGCTGGCATCTATATTGATATAGTTATGTTATAAAGAAATGCTTGAATGTTCTACCACTTCTTTTCAAATCAGTGTAATCTCTGTGCTGGGCTACATACAATTAAGCCTTGAGAAACATCCTCATCAGGGTGAAATCCTGGCTCTGTTGCAGTCTTTGGCAACACTCCCATTGATTGCAATACATTATACTTGTAGAACAGCAAGCACTGCTAAAAGGGCAGCATCTTTTCAAGCCACTTAAAGTCGTAGTTATTTGACAGTGTCCTGCTTCAGATATTACACTGCCATAGGACACATTTTCCCATTACATTACCTCAGCCCACATTTGTGATGGGTGGCATGTTTGGTAATTACTGTCTGTTGTACTCAATATAAAGTCATTTTTATCCATTGTGACTTTTGCCCAACATTTACACAAGTGTTTTGGAGAAAATTTTCTCCAGTCTAAAATGTTGGGTCACTTTCAGGAGAGCAAATTCCTAGGAAGACTCCTCTATGCAGTTGAAGTGAGTTGATAGCCCCATGAATGGTCATAAAATACTAAGATTAAGTCCACCATCTGGGGTTCACTATTTAATAAACACTGAGTACATCCTCTTTTAATGCACCCCCAAATGAGATTTCTTGCTCAATATCCTTAAACAAAAAAACACAACATTCTAAGTTTCTGTTGTGAAAATAGACACAGACATCCAGGAACTTTTGCTGCACCTGTTATATTGGCTTGCAAAGGGCCTGCAGCTGAACTTAAACTTTTGTTTCAAATAAGATATAATATTACCAAAATATGTTTACCTCAAGAACTAACCAGAGCTGTCCTCCTACATATTGATCCACTTTGTAAAACATTCCATAAAACTTAACAACGTTGGGATGATTGGGAAGAAACTGTAAAATATTATATTCTGCTTCAATTTCTTCATCCACATCCTAAACAGAAAACATCAACATATTTAGTGCGCACATAATACTTTACAGTGTATAAGTAAATCTTCATGATGCATAACACATTGGAGCCACAACAGAAAAAAATTATGTTTAATTGTGCTCATTTGTCTAAGCTATTTGCATAGCTATTATTTTCAAATCATTTAAAATAATATTTTCTGATGTTTGAGCTATGTGTAAATAAATGAATCTAAGTTTTCTCAAGCCATCAGATGGGCCTTGCTACATAGCAGTTCTATAAACAATTGAACATGAATAAAAATACTGTAACAAAATCTTTAAAGCAGAGGAATGTAATAGTTAACTAAAGCCCACAATTTAAAACATGCACAGTAGGAACCATTAAATAGACCAAAATCAAAATCTACTAAATTAGCAAATTATGGATGACTTATTACTATTAGTCAGAATTTTGTCAAAGGAGACATTTTCATAAAGGTGAGACAATAAAGGACATGTTTTGATGTGCAATATGTTGGCCCCAGTTTATGAAAGCATGATAGACTTATGTACATAAGACTATCCTTATTGCATATAGACTTTGACTCTAATAGTACTTAAGCATGTGCTGGAGTAGTTTGCTGACCAGGGATAGTTTCCTGAATCATAACCACTGTTTTATGACACTGTCACACGTTACTTAATGCATTCTGTACAGATTCACACTGTACAAAGGAAAAACAAATTGTATTTAGTTCAATTAAAGATTATTTTTCCCATGTCATGATCAAATAATTGCCTACTGAAATCTCTCAGTTGGACATGGCTTATAGGACCTAGAACCTCAAAGGTATGTAGATGCTTACCTATTGATATCAGTGGGAAAGAGGCAACTAAAAGCATCTGAGGATTTGGGTCTGTGTCTGTCTTCGATTCTTGTTTTAATTATTGCATAACAGTATTGTCCACTATGTAAAATCAGCAACAGTCTACTGAGCACTGGCAGCACTTCAGTGGTTGGTGAGATGATTTATTTATAGAGTTTGTACAATGAAATGGGTCTTTTAAGATGAATAGCACTGTGTATGTTATATATAAAGGACTCCAGGGAGAAAGAGTCCTTCAAGGTTCCCAGGTTTCCTGTGCTCCATGGAGCAGAGGGAATGAAGGGTGAATTGAACAGAGCCAGGCCACCAAACCCTCCTGATGGTCTTTTTTTTTAGACAATGAAATGGATCCTTTAACATGAACAGCGCTGTGTTATGTTATATAACATTTTATATACCTTATTTACTCGAATACAACACAAGGTTTCCCCCCAAACAGTATGGGGAAAAAAGACCTTCATCTTACGCCCACCTACAAGGAAAAATCATTAAATATATTGCCTATCATTAAACTTCTGTCAAAAGCAGCACGTGGCTCAGTAGTGGAAACCAGTTATGAAGTTGATTAAATGTGGCCAACACAAGGGGCAAAAATGATGATAGGATCTTACTTTATTTTTTTTCCAATGTCATGTTGCAGGCCAAATTAGCCAAAATAAGTCCCAAATTCCATTGACTGAGGAGAGCTCAGTTGTTCAGGTCTGTGTGATACTACCACTGGCATGTATCCTACCTCCCAGACCATCAGTCTTGGGTTAGACACTCCATGGCATGCATCCTATGTGCAAACCACAAGCATGGAAGCCTTGGGGTTCAGATGCCCTCCTAGTTTCACTTACCCCTAGCCAAAATGCCATAGGAGCTAGCTAGAGGGAAAGCCCAAGAGCAATCCTTAGACAGCTGGACAGACTGTGAATAGACAGAAACCTAAATTCATTCCTCTAAACTAGTAATTCAGTCTCCTCTGTCTGTGTATCACTTGCAGGACTAGGTGCAAAATCATATGCCATAGAAGGATTCAAAACTGGAGGCTAGCCACAGGACTGAATCAGTTGCCTTTTCTTCTAAATTAGTTAGTTCATCTGTGCTTAAGAACCCATGTACCTGTTCCCTCCAGGATTTGTTCAGAGTGTCTAAGCATTGAGTTTAAGCTTTAAATCCTTTTGAAGGTCGCACCTTTTCATATGACCATTTAAATTACACTCAAAATATGAATGTTGTCTTTTACTTACACTGATAGGATCCAGAATTTTTACTGCTGCCAGACTCCCATCTTTCTTATTGGCAACCTTATAGACTTTACCATAAGTGCCTTTTCCAATGGTCTCTGTGATTTCCCAAGTATCTGAGGGATCAGCTAATGATTCTAGTCCAATCATATTGGTACTGTATTGAAATAATCCATATAATGGCTTCCTGGAAAATAAAGTTTGTTGTAAGAAATAGACTATACATTTTAAATGGGGTGAGGGGTTGGTTACCAAACTTTGTTTTAACCAGGTGGTAGAACAAACAGAACTGGAGCACAGAATAAAAAACATGGAACAGTCAGCTGCTATTCATAGTTTTCCACTATCATGTCTGCTGGTCATACAGCACTGAACAGACAGTCCAGACAGAAGAGAAATCAGATCAGGACCCAGTATTTCACTACTGAAAAATGAATATGATCCGTTAAATGCCTCTATTAACCAATCTTCACATTTAGAGGGGTGGAGGACTCTGAATCTTTACCTCTGAGCTCTGCTGCTTTCTTGATTAGCATCTGTTCTAAATGGCTGTCATATGATTCTCTGCTGGGGGTCTGGGGGGGGAGGGAAGAGAAAGTGGTGTGAGCAAGGAAAGAGAACTAGCTTACCAGGTGTACTTAAATAGATGAGAAGTAGCAAGATCTGGGAGGAAGAATAGGTGAGACACTGAGACAAAAGTGGGGATGGATGGAAAGGATGAACACACAGACAGGGTACCCATGGGAAGAAAAGAAGGAATGTAGACTAATGGAATACAGACTGAAACATAGAATAAGACTGATGGAAATGAGGAAAGAGAAAACTATAATGAGGTTTTTGATGTTTAATGATTTCAGGGAAAAAAAGAGAAAAGGCAAGCAAAAATGAAGCACAAAAGACAAAGAATATGGTAGGAAGACCTGTGAGGTGAAGGTGGACAGAAGCAATTGGAAATTAAAAAAATAAGTGTTTTGAGACATTGCTATTGGCTCCATGCAGACACTTCTGGGTCTGCTGCCGAACACGTTGGGGAGCCCTCATGCTTCTGTGGGATCGCAACATTCACGAGCCACCTGGTACCTTGAGGTATGTAGAAAAAGCATTTAAAGCTGTTTCTATGTCTGAATCACCAGATCTTTCTGAATCGATTTGGAGGGTTCCGATTCAATTCAGAGAGATTAAAGGGTCTCCCGATTTGATTTGGATTCAGAGATTTGGCCGCTGAATCGGGCCAAATCTCTGCCAAATCAAATCAGGGACCGAAGCTTTGCACAGCCCTAGTTGGCAGGCTGAAGATGCAAATGTACAGTGTCAGTAGCCAGGGAGAGCAAACCCCTAGGACTAACAGTGAGTATTGTTATCATCAGGATACAAGGATAGGAACAATCTCATTATAGGCTCTGTTCAGTGGACTTCAGCAGAGTAATACACAGTTTCACCAGAGCTGAATTTGACCCTTATGTTTTGCTCCATGCATAGCATCCCATAATGGTTTTGATATCCCTAACTGTGTAATTGTGTCAGAAGGATACATGTGGGGAAACTTGTACAGAAATTTAGTGTCTCATTGCCAAAACTAAGGACTACAGTAGGCAGTAATCTGTCTGATTTTCAGTGAAGAATAAGAGCACGTTTGATAGAAGTCAATGTTGGCTTTTAACAGCACAAAGTAAACAACAGTCTTTAAACATTGTTTAAATCCAATCCCATGTATTTGGGGTTGTCAGTTGCAGCTGTGTTGGTCTAAGGACACAGGTGTCACAACCCAAAGTTGTGGGTTTTTTTGTTTGTGTGCGCTTCGGCATCGCTAAATCATGTTCCCGCCAAATTGCAGCTCTTTTGCACGGTGGAGTGTTCTGCTGCAACAGAGAACCCGCATGCAGGAGCTTTTCCCGCTAGTTCTATAGCTTTCTTTGCATAGTGCATTTCTTTTGCATTATAGCAATGCGCGATGCAAAGAGTCACTGCCATTTGTATTAGGATTCGCGCCACATTATTGGCCAGTCTTAATGTAAGCACACGTGGCGGCTAGCTATTGGCTTGCTAGCCGTACAAAAGGCTTGGGTGGTTTCCGCCCAAATCGGAGAGAAAGAAAGCACGTGGAGTTCAGGAAAGGAGCGTGAGGATCTCTAAGCGCTGCTGATTCATACGAACCCAGCTTTTTCCTTAAAAGGGCAACAGAGGTTTAATTTGTCGAACCCACGGAGCTTCAACAACTCCGCGGGACTTATTTATCGTCCCCTCGGAGCCTTAACGACTCCGAGGCAACTAACCTCTAGCCTCTCCCCATCGCCGATCGCAGCCCAGACGTATCCCTATCCTAAGGACCCAATTGTCGAGCCCACGGCGTTTAACAGCTCCGGGGGACCTGGGAACTGAGTAACACTCACGGAGATATAGCTGCTCCATGGGAACGAATTCTTGAACCCCGCGGAGCCTGATTCACTCCGGGGTCAAGGAACCGAGTTTATTAGAGTCCTCCACCGAGAACTCAAGCAGAGCTGAGCTATGAATGTTGACCAGCCTACACCACGACCACCTTGGGTGTAAGTAAATAATCTTTTCAATCAACCATTACGCCTCCGTGACTGATTCTAGCTCGAGCGTACCAAACCGCACCGCGGTTTTTTCCAACCCCGTGTACTCGGGCTACCAGCCACAGCCTGTGTACACACAGACGGGCCCCTGGCTCACCCTGGCTCACACATGGTGACCCAGATGGGATCGAGAGATGGCTCGCACATGGCGATCCAGGTGGGATCGGGAGTCGGCCCGCACAACAGGCAGGCAAGTTTCTTTGGGTAGATGTGATATCTTTTATTAGACCAACGAAATAGTTGGGAAAAGTTCTTGGCAAACTTTCAGGCACAAACACCCTTCCTCAGGCATTCCTCGTCCAATACCTGAAGAAAGATGTTTGTGCCCCAAAGCTTGCAAATAACTTTTTCCAGCTATTTAGTTGGTCTGATAAAAGATATCTACCCAAAGAACATTGCCTGCCTATCCTGCGTATTTATAACTTTAATTCTTTACATCAGGGTCAAACATCATTGTTGGTATTTATGAAATAATGTGTTTGGCTCCATTCAGGGAACAAGGTCTTGCCTCAGAGAACTTACAATTAATCAGGCAGACACAGAGAAGGCATGCTAAGAAGTTCACAGTAGCTTAGAGGTGTAGGAGATTGGGTTTGGTTGCTGACTTATTTCTGCTGGAAAATATGAAATAACCAAGTCTTTAAGAACAATCTGAATGAGAATACCGAGATGGTCGGTGACCTAGAACAGAGAGAACATTCAACACATAGCTGTGCCTAGAAGGAGACAGAGAAGCATGGAAATGAATAGGTCATCCAGGCTGCCACGTTTGTAGAACCAGAAAGTGAGACTGGGAACACTCAAAGTTATCAGTTTTGGTTTTGCACCAGAGACAGTAATTCAAGTGTGATTAATTATACCTGGGCTGTAGATTTGCAGTTCATAGAATCATAGGTTGGAAGGGACCTCAGGAGGTCATCTAGTCCAACTCTCTGCTCAAAGCAGGACCACCTCCACGTATATCATTCCAGCCAAGGCTTTGTCTAGCTGGGTCTTAAAAACCGCCAAGGATGGAGATTCCAAAACCTCTCTGGGAAAAGTGTTCAGTGCTTCACTACCCTCCTAGTGAGAAAGTTTTTCCTAATATCTAACATAAACTTCCTTTCCAGTTGCTGATGTTTGCCATTTAGAAATGTTGCTAGATATCAAAAGGTTGTCTGAATGCAGTGAGGTTAAAGCAAACCAACTTCTGTAGCCAGTGGTCCACAAGGGAGTACTGTGGCTTGCATCATATGTGCCCATCTTTGACTACCCAGCCTGATGATTAGGTACCCATATACAGCTGGGTAAACTGGAAATAGCCTTCAGCATGAGTATACAGCAGGGCTTGAACTCATGCCTCTCCCCTACTACCTACAAATCGCAATGTGAGACTAAAGTGCTTAGGTTATGGTGCCTTGCTATAGTGAAAGTATTTACTTAATCATAATAAGACATTTTAATCATTTGCCACCTGACCCCTGCATTTGTAAACATCATTCCTCGTGATGGTTGTAGCTGGTTTCCTTGACAGGGAGGGCTTGGCTTTATTGTTGTCAAAATGCAGATTATTAAATTATTAGAATCAAATGCTTTGCAATAGACAATGGATAAAAGTCACTTGAGACTTGGCTAGATGATAATGCAGAAACATTGTAAGCTTGTTGTCAGTATTTGGGTGTTTGATTCCATGTCAGTTGTGTTGTGGTGTGAAAACAGTGAGCTGTGCTGGTTGCACATGACTTCAAACTCATGAGTTCTTCCATGCCAAAAAAAAACCTGAAGATGTCTCCACCCAGTGAGAGTCCACAATAGTTAGACTAAGAGCGGTTATTACAAAATCCCTCTCTAAAATAAGACAAGCCCCCCACCACCCTACATTTGATGTTGCTAGCACTGTTTGCACTTGATGATATCAATGTCCATGCAGATGACAACTTTTTCATACCATTTTAAAATTTAGTGTTTGCTATGACCAACATAGGACTGAGTAGTCATTGTTTTTATATATATGTGTGTGTGTGTGTGTGTGTGGTCATCTGCTGGGTCTTGGCTTTGAGTTAGCTCCAGGGACACACAGAGGGAGATTATGCCTTTCGCTATAGTCTATGTCTCTTTTGTTCAAGCTCAAAAACTATTCTGATAGTGTTCCTCTTACAGAATTCAGCTGTTTAGGATTGCTTTGAGAAAGAATACTGCTGACGCCCAACTGAGCGCTGTCAGTGGCTTGCTAAATTAAATCTCTTAGGGATGATTCTGCCTTGAGCAGGGGACTAGATTAGATGACCTTGTGAGGTCCCTTCTAGCTCTTATTTCCTATGACTCCCTGGTTTTAAAGAACTGTAGGGCTGATTAGAAATATTCACTGCTGATAAAGTAATATAAAATGAAGCAAGACCTTTTGAATCCAATTTTTTTAATCTGCATGATGTTGTTAATTAATCGTGCTAGAGAACTAGATTGAGCATAAATTCTTCACAGCATAAATCCATACTGCAGCATTCAGATTAATAAACAGAGTCTTTGGAAAACCTATTTTGATATTTTGTTCCTTTCCAGGAAAGGGGGCTTTCTTTTGATCTCTATGTTAAGCCTTTGGAAAAAAATATTT